TCTTTCGATATGCTATACCTTGCCCCCAAAGACACTGGGCAACACAGCTGTAACATAGTCCTCAGGTTTTGTCAATGAAGCAAAAATCTGGAAGAATTAAAACAGAATAGTTTCTATGAACTTAACTCACTACAGATTCTCGGGATAATAACTGAGTGTTGTCAGAGAACAGAAGCCAATTATAATGAGATTAAGGAATGCAAAGCACCTAAACACATATTTATCCTACGTATACGAATGCTGGCTCAGTTAAAACATTGCAAGAGATCAGAAGGTCTTGAATAAAGAGGAACAAAAAGAAAATGACATCCGTGAATCTCATTGTCATTTACTCTAAGCCCATTTGCACTGTGATAACATGTAACTATAAATTACTCCAACCTTCAGTTCTTTTTATACTGTCAATGTGTGAACGAAAAATCAGGCCAGTGAGTTTTTGCAGATGTAATCAGATATTCTTAGGGACAATAGTAGCCTTCTGCAACACATTAGTAACATCTGACATCTGGAGACAAACTTACTTTGTATAAAGCGTGTTGTAGAACTTTTTAATGAGCAAACAGTACACAGAACCCAAGGGATTCAGTTTGTACCCTTTACTTTATCAAAACCAAGTGCAAAACAGTTAAAAATTATATTAAAAAGTGTGAAAATGCAACACTTAAGATTTTCAGATACATGGCCCAGTATGTTATATAGCAATGAGACATAAAATTTAGAACCCAATTTGGATGTGAATCTGAACATCCCTAAAATTCAGGAGAAGCTCCTGAATTCAGTGTTCCAGATCTGGTCCATATTTATCTCATAGGATGCCATTAACATCATGGACAAGGTGAGGAATAATAATAGAGATGTAGCCAGGTTAGTCTGATCTTGCTAAAACAAAAGGAAAAACTATGCAGCACTTTAAAGACTAACAAGATGGTTTAATAGGTGATGAGCTTTTGTGTGATAGACCCTCTTCTTCGGATCATATTCTGGAAGAGAATTGGCATAACCATATACACCAAAGGAATACAATGAAAAAATTGAACACATTAAATAGACAAATCAGATTTAGTAAATTTGAGGCTTTACGAATGGGCCTTAACAAAGATGCTAATTACCTTACCCATTACCAAGAAAGCTTCCCCACTTATCACCCCTGATTAGCCATTCATTGACTCAAATAGCTATTCCCTCCCTCCGTCTCCCTCACCCCACCTGCTGTACTAAATCTGATTTGTCAGTTTAATAATGTGTTCACTTTTTTCATTGTATTCCTTTGGTATATCTGGTCAAGCCAATTCTCTTCCAGAATATGATCCGAGGAAGTGTGTCTGGCCCATGAAAACACATCACCTATTAAACCATCTTGTTAGTCTTTAAAGTGCGACGTAGTTTTTCCTTTTGTTTTAGCAAGGTGAGGAATGGCAGCAGAAGAGAGGTTCTGCCGAAAACAATGGGATTACGCACAGTATTACTTAGCATGGGGAAGGCTGGAAGAACCTGGTTCAGAGAGTAAGCTGTGCAGTGGACTTGGAGGAGGAAAGGAATATACATGGTGGCTGAGTTAACATTGATAGGAACCGCCAATTTGGTATCTCTGAGTCTGTGGTTTAACACTGCCTTAAATTATTGTTCAGTTATTTATCATTTCCCAAGAGTATACAACCTTCAGGAATAGCTTATTGAAAAAGTAAGATGAAAAGATTTCACATTAGATGGTTTAGGATTCTTCAAGCTAGCAACTTAGCTTAGATTGAACTGAGATTTCAGCCTTCAATTAAACATGAAGTCATTGTCCCGGAGATGAAATATGAAACACATACAGGAACAACCACCAACTCAATCATCATCCAGTGGTAAGTCTGAGTCATTACACTCCAGCAGCAATTCTGTCCACAGCATCAACCTATCGTCCCACATAAAAGAGACTTAGCTAGCCTGATAGAGGTTCAACTCCACCTTAGCTGAAAGGACAGGCACTAAAATGTGTTGGGGAAGTAAAAATGGAAGAGAAAATAGTAAGATCATGTCACAGGCAGTGCTTGGGAGCAGCAACACAGAATTAGAGAAGATGGGTAGGGACCCAACAAATATTTTTATCTGACGCTTGCCATCTTGGTTGACACCACAAAGACTGAACCAGAGAGCTCCAAAGCTAAAAAGCACAAGTCTTTACAATTTGTGCTAGACTGTACAACTGGAGGCTATTGCAGACTCATCGCCTCTATGGATTAGGCACAAAGTGGGACACACTGACCAGTGGATTATGTTGATACCCTAGAAATGTGGACAACCCAATTCACATATTCTTCTCCTTAAGCCCTGTTGTGTCACTCAGGCCCTACAGGGCTGCTGTGCTCCTATCAGGCTGCAATCTTTCCTGTGCAAAAATCCAGCTCGTCTTGTAGACCCACCCCTCAGAATCTATTTCCTGGTCCCCTACCAGTCCTGCATCTTCCCATCACCCAAATCAGCGTAACCTGTACTGGAGCCTAATGAGCCTATTAGCTAATATGGCCTGGGCAGAGAAAATAAGGAAGTCGGGAGGTGGCAGATTAATGTGGGAGGAGAAGAACAGATAGGAGAGAGAATAAAAGAAATTAAATATGCCCCAAAATGAGAAAATGGTTACACTGGAAGAGGGAAAAGCCTTAGATTTTCCCTCTGGACCCCAGTTCTTCACCCTATTTAAAATACAAATATTTCCTAGAAAATTACAGTCTTACCCACTGTCCTCTTGTGACTTTCCAGGACAAGGGCCATCTTGCTTTCTCTTGGTCGCCTTTATGAGGCTGGTATGCAGTGCTATTTTCAAATATTACTACAGTAAAACCTGCACTATCCAGAACTTAAGCATCCGGAAAACTGTAGAAACCAGCAAATTTCTGATGCCGGGAAAGGGAAAAGAAAAAAAAAGAAAAAAGAAAAAAAAAGGAAACTGACCCTTTAAGTGCCAAGCCACTCCTCAGACAAGCGTGCAGCACATATCTGGGGGAGGGGTGAATGGCAGCCAGAAGCAAGCATCTCGGCTCCCCTCGCGGCTCCTGGCACCCCCAGCAGGCCACCCCTCCTGTGGCTCCCAGCTCCCCTCCCACTGTCAGGCCACCCCTGTCATCTCCACCTCCCACCAGGCTGCATCCCGCCCCATTTCTCCCCCGAGCTTGTGGCCCCCCCAGCAGGCCACATCCCTTCCTGCCCCACCCCCCCAGGCTCCACATGGCTCTCTTGGGTCCCCCCCCCCCAGATAATCAGAATTTTTAGGTTATCGGCACGCCCTAATCCCCAGGTGTGCCGGATAACACAGGTTTTAGTATATATGAATTGGTCAAATAATTCAAACTGCATTGATACACTTACTCCAAATGTTGCAAACTGACAACTTGGGAGCCCCTTTATTAGTTCTAAACTTTTACTACAAGTTAGACCTCCCTGGTCCAGTGCCCTCGGGACCTGAGTGGTCGCTAACAACTGAGTTTGCCAAACCAGGGGAGGTTAGACCTCCGTGTTTTCCTGAGGCTCTGCTCCTGACTGCTGCCCCAGCCAGTGTGCTGCCCCCTGGCCTGCTGGCAGTTCTCAGCTGCCAGTCGACAGGCCCCACAAGCTGCTGGCCCTGCTCCTGGCCACCCAGCCCCAGGGGTCTCTACTCCTGGCAGGTCTCTACTCCTGGCTGTTGGCCCCACTACCTGCAGGCCCTGCTCACGAGGTTCCACTCCTGACCACCTGACCCCACATGAAGCAGCAGTCGCTTCCAGCCCTATTCCTGGCCACTCAGACCCATGGGCTGCCGACCCACCAACAGGGCTCTGCTCCTGGCCACTGACCCTGTGGGATTCTGTCCGGGCTCCTTGGTGCCAGGCCATCCTGTGGGCTACTGGCCTGCCAGACTGGTTCCTCTCCCAGCCACTCTCAACGTCTGTGACTTGGGCTCTGTGGTCCATGGGTTCTCTGGTCCAGCAACATCTGTGGTCCTGCTGGACCAGAGATGTTGCTGGATCAGAGAGTTCCAGACCAGAGAGGTTCAACCTATACCCTTGGCGACCAACCACTCATGATATTGTCTCACTTGTATTTTTACCACTAGTAATTCCATATACTTCAAAACACTGTGAAAAAATCCCTGTTTCTTGCTCAGTAATGCTAAATTCAAACACATTATGCCATAGAGAATACCTACATGCCGTTACATTAATGGAATATATGATACATGTAGTAATAACACTTTGCATTTGAATATTATTTTCTATCTAATTACACATCCTCACCAGGTAAAAATCAATGCAGCTCTACTTCTCTGCCAATCCGCTAATTTATATCCTGATGAGGATCTAGCACTTTACAGATATAAACAGGGTCTGAATGAATGCTTCCCTGACATTTAGCTAGGAAGAGGAGAAGAGACTCTGGGTCTGTTTATGTAAATTCAGTTCCTCCTGTGTTCCTTAGATTTGCTAGATATTCAGCTGATGGAGCAATGTTTTGCTCATTGGCTGTTGTTGAGTCACAAATTATGATAATACTAAATATAGGAATTGTGAAACGTGATCACAAATGCTTGTAATGATTATGAACAGGGCCGAATTAAGGCATGGGCTAGCCGGGCAGCTGCTCAGGGTGCCAACCTATGGGGTGTGCCTGACAGCTGCCATCAGGTGCCGTGCACCCGGCTCCCCGGCTGCAGCAGCTCCCAATGGGCACCCTGCAGCTGCCGCCAGGGGCAGGGGCCGCATTAACCCCTGCAGCGCTGGCCAGCAGCGCCCTTCCCCCCACCGCTGTGGGGCCCTGTATGGTCAGGCTCAGCCCGCCCCTGGTGGTCCCGGGCTGCGCGCCAGCAGCGATAGCTGGGCCGGGCACATGTGTCCTGCTGCCGCCAGATCCACATGCCCTCCCCCACACGCCGGCATGGGGATGGGACCGCACATGCGCCCTCCCCCAATCCGGGGCACCAGAATGGCTCGGTCCGGCCCTGATTGTGAGAATACAGAAAAGACAGAAAGACAGACTGTGCTTACCCAGTTTCAAAGGAAGACAGTTCACTGTCAGTTTAAAGACCCTCAGATGAAGAAGGGCTCAAATGTCAAGAGTTTTGTGGTGGTAAGACAAGAGGACAGGACTCCCAACTAGAAGTCTGCCTGCTTTCAAGAGTCTGCTGTAAGACTGGTTCAACCTGTTCCTCCCCACCCCTCTAAGAATACAGCTAAATAGGCTTCATTAAGAGCCTCCTTTGTTGTTTTTAATTGCTCCATTGGAGCTGAAATCACCTGTGGCAGGACTGTGCTTCTGACCAAAGTTAAAATCACTAAAGCTACATCTAGACTGCCGTGCTATTTCAGGATATCGGAAGTATCCCAAAATAGCAATTCCACGTCTTTAAACATATTTTGAAATAACAGGCGCACTATTCCAGCATCCCTCTAAACTTTTTCCACAAGGGTTGAGGGACTCGTTGGAATAGCGCTTTATTTCAAAATGACATCAAAATAAGCTATGCAATTAGTGCAAATTGTATAGCTTATTTCAAGATAAGGGTGCTGTGTAGATGCACCCTAAGGGTAAGTCTACACAGCAACATTATTTTGAAATAACTAATGTTATTTTGAAATAATTTAGTCTGCGTCTACATAGCAAGCAATTATTTCAAAATAATGTTGATATATTGTCAATCAGGAAGATGACTTACTCCTATTCCTGTAACCCTCACTGGTTGAGGAGCAAGGGAAGTCGGAAGAAGAGTGCTCTATTTCAAAATAAGTGCTGTGTAGATGCTCCCAATTTCAATTTCAAAATAAGCTACACAATTGACAGCTCAGTTTGCATAGGTTATTTCGAGCTAAGCCCTGCGGTGTAGATGCACCCTAAGAGATGGAGTTGGGGCAGCTAGCCAGAGCAGCAAATGAGAGGGCAGTGACAGAAAGGTGTGATGAGTGGCCGGCAGGGCAGTGGTGGACAGGTGCAATGAGAGGAAGTAGGTTGGCGGCGGAAAAGAGTGGCCAGTAGGGTGACATCAGAGAGGCGCAACAAGCGGCCCCAGGTTGGGAGATGAACTCTGTGGGAGCATCTCTGAATTATGGGGTTACCCTGACCAAGGGCAGCAACTGCAAGTGGAGTGCAGAGAAGGTTGGGCATGTGAAGTGGACTTTTGTGTTGCTGAACTTAGAACCTGAGAGAAAAGGGACATTGCACAACCTACTTGGAGTGAGACTTTTACTCGTGGCTTATCGGTATGAACCCTAATTGTGGTGTTTCCCTAAATCAATGCCAAGTTACTTCCCTCCCTTTTATTAAAAGTTTGTTTTCTACAATCAAACATTGTGCCTGCAAATGAGGAAGTACTGTCTTTCAGGGATGGGGTGTAAATTTCTCAGGTTACTGAGTAGGAGATCAAGCCAGTTCTGTGTTGGATTGATGGAAAAGAACCCCTAGATCCTGAACCTGGCCCTGGCTGCTCTCTGATTAGTCTTCGCCTGACAGTTAGCATTATCAGAAGTTTATAGATGGGAAAACAGAGGCAGAGCAGTTGAGGACTTGCCCTAGGTCATGAAGGAAGCTGCTGTCAAAGCATGGATTACAACTCAAGTTTTTCTGTTCTTCTCTGACCTATGGTCAAACCGTTGAACCATCCTTCCATGTCAAATAGCCACTTTGGTGTTAGGAAAGTGGGAGAAATAAATATAGAATGTGATAAAACTTCATTTTTGGATATTAGAAAAACCTTCTCAGTATAAAAAGCCAAGAGCGCATTCTATATGCTAAACTGAATTTTTTTATCCCAAAGGACTTGTTCATTAGGCTCTGAGAGCTGCGAAATAAATAACCTAAAAACTATCAGCATCAATGGGCTACCAGAATTTATTCTCAAGTGAATACATCAGAACTGACATTCCAGGGAAAGCAAAACACAAAGGACAAGCCAAAATAACAAAATGTACTATATATTTTTGATTGTGTGTCTGTCATCTCCGAGTCTGTTTATTCAAGAACTCCTCCTAAATTGTAAGAGCCAGGACCACCAAATATTGTATGCAGCTTCCTCTTAGCATAACTTATAGCAAGATAAGAGTTTGGTTGTGTCAGGACAATGGGATGTGCCTGGAATCTGATTGTTTTCCATCAAATCGAAAGGACAGGTCTGATAGCAGGGGCAATTATACTACAGAATGAACAGAGAGGGACAGCAAGCACACCAACCCCAGCAGGCACCCCAGCCAGCACCAGGGGGAATACTACTATCTAGACAGCAGGGCCCCCACTGTCCCAGCTGGCCCCAGGGAGCCTCCCTGCCAGGGCTGTAACAAGGGCAGGGCAAGCAGGGCGCTCATACTGGCCCCTATAATCAGGGGCACAAAGACACAATATGTAAAAATAATAAGCTGCCAAAGTAAAGAGCACAACGTGCTAACCTAAAGAGAGGGGGCGCATAATTAATATTTTGCTTCAGATGCAAAAATATCTAGTTATGGCACTGCCTCCTGGCTTGACTCCTGCACCCCCACATCCCTGTCTTGACCCTGCCTTGTCTCCACATCCTACCCTGAGTTCCACAAACCTCACAATCCTTTGCCCTGACTCCTGCACCCTTCACTCCCTACCCTGAGTCCCTCACACAACCCAACCCCCTGCCCTGATGCCTGTACCCCCAGCCCTCCGCTCCTCACCCCTTACCCTGATTCCTGCACCTCCACCCTCTGCCTGAGCCCCTCATCGCCCCTGACTACTGCAGCCCAGACCCCAGTCCCCTGTTCTGAGCCCCCCACATTCCAAAGCCCCTGCCCTAACTCACCTACCACATGCTTGCCCTGGGTTCCTCTTTAAGGACCCGAGCAATACCAGGTCAATGTGCTAGTCAATCAAAAGAAAACAAACTTGCTCAGTCTTACTTGCAAAGCTTTCACACACTGACAACAATCCTGCAAAGAGTTAAGAATGTATATAACCCAACTCAAATGAGTTTACCCTAAAATGATCAGTAGTGAAGCCATTAACAATGCCGATATATGAAATGTCATTGTTGGGGGCTTGAGTTAATATTCCTTGGGGTGAATTGGAGTAACACACACGTCTGAGCACTTGTTCCAGACTGTGGGCAAATTAAGGCAGAAATCAGTTACATGTGGCTCCCATTTTGAAATTTATTTTTAAATAAAAGCTTATTCCATAGCCTGCTACTACATAGCTTTCCCCGCTGATGTATTTTAACTCCAAGTGTATATTTGCAGGTCACTTTGCCTACCCACTTAGGGTATGTCTACACAACACCAAATAATGTATTGTGTGTCTCCACAGCCACCCCGTTATTTCAAAATAAATTTGAAATAACAGGCTTCTTACTCTAACTTCTGTAAACCTTACTGTACGAGAAGTAAGGAAAATTGGAGGTAGAGTGCTCTATTTCAAAATAAGTGCTGTGAACATATGCCCAATTTCAAAATAACCTATTGCGTTATAAGCTTATTGAGTTGCATAGCTTATTTCAAGTTTAGCCCTGCTGTGTAGATGTACCCTTACAGATATCTCCATACATCATTGGCCATATTTCCTTAACGGGTAGATGTAAGAAAGTCTCAGGGCTAACTTGGCTACAAATCTGAATAGAAGCAGGACATTTGCTCTGAGTGCATATGCTTTAATGAATTCTGTGGGGTCATTTCACATGGTTTACAGGCCGATAATTTCCCCAGAGAGAAAAACACATATGCCTAATAGATGTTTTAGTGGTTAGTTTGGTAGTCTAAACAATCTTTCCTCCTCCTCCTCCCCACATACCTGAAAAGGTTTGTAAGACTCATTCAGAAGGCCAAATGAAATTACCCATGCAGAAATATAAGGGAATGTCTAAACTAGCCACCCTAGTTCGAACTAGGGTGGCTAATGTAGTCATTCAAATTTGCAAATGAAGCCCGGGATTTAAATATCCTAGGCTTTATTTGCATGTTCCCGGGCACCGCCATTTTTAAATGCCCCGTAGTTCCAACTACCTGCTCGCGGTTACACGAGGCATGGGCTAGATAGTTCGAATTAAAGCTCCTAATTCGAAGAGTAACGGTAGTTCGAACTAGGGTGGCTAGTGTAGACATACCCTAAGATGTTAAGAAACACTGATGGCTAATCAGTGACATTTTACGATATGCAGAACCCCACTGAAAGCTAAGGCCTCAATCATGCAGTGAGCTTTGTACAGACAGTACCCTTGAATCAACAGAGTACACTATAGAATTCAGGCCATAGTCTATAATGGATAAATGGTACTATATTATTCTTTTGAACTGTTGTTTTTTCTTGTGTGATTGTTACAGGCATGTTAAACTTGGAGGGGATTTTTCTCATGATGTAGAAATATCAAAGTGAAATAGTAGCCTTCAGTTGGTAGTGCTGTATTTGACATGACTTCTATGTCACTTGAGTTGACCTTTTTTCATTAGAACTGTCCCTTCATGAACTAATTTATGCCTAATTTATATATAGCAAAGATCTGAGCTTCTTGATGTTGGCTGGTTTCTGGATCTCAGCCATGGCCTATAGTTGTGTTTCTTTTCCAGAAGACACTTCCTAAAGTGAAATCCAAGTGTGCAACTATCAATATTTTATATACATTTCACCCAACACTTTGAAGAGGAAGTTTTCTCAACAAGTATATGCACAACTCCCATTAGCATTAATATGTGCTGAAGGACAGACCCTTTAAACAGCAAATCTCTTAAATCCCCTTGAGCTGACTAATGGGAAAAAGAAAAGGGGAAAAAAGAAAGGCATATCTAATAAAACAGGTTCTAGGAAGAATATACTTCTCCTCTAACTTCTAGAATACTTCTTCCTATTAAGCACCACACATATTACTGTCATTATATAAATAAATAATAGCACTGACAGGCATGCATTGAGGGCAAGGGAACAAACAGCAGGACTCCTGGATAGAGTTAGGTAAATTTTTTTGGCTGAAACTTATCTGGAAAGACGCAGATTCAGCTATGCCAAAATGGTTTGTAAATTTGTGTTGATTTCATCAAATTATTCATTGGGGGAGGAGGGACAAAAGAATATGACTTTTAAAAAAAAAATTCTTTATTTTTCAGTATAAAGTGAGTTTTAATTTCTAAATTCACTTGAATTTTATTTTTGTAATTTAAAAC